TATATATGTATATATGTGTATGTGTATATGTATGTATGTATATATATATATATATACATATATATACATACATATAACATATATATATGTATATGTATATGTATATATGTATATATGTATATATATATATGTATATATATATATGTATATATATGTATGTGTATATATATGTATGTGTATATGTATGTGTATATATGTGTATATATATGTATGTATATATATGTATGTGTATATATATGTATGTATATATATGTATGTGTATATATATGTATGTATATATATATGTATATATGAAGAGAGGTTAGTCAGCTGTCAGAGCTACAGAAAGGTGCAAGGAAAGGGCTACCTAAGACATACAACAAGCTGTCGATACCTGAGGCTCTGGAGACTGCCAAACAAAGACTTACTGCTCTGGCTACCCACCTAAAGAGATACAAGGCAGAAGCAGAAGCCAGGAGAATAAACCAGATGCTCTCCACCGAACCATACATTGGCAGGGTAATGACACAAGATCAGATCCACCCGACGAAGATCCAGGAGTACATCAGCAAGATGACCCCCAAAGATGAAGGGCTTAGTGAATACCTCAGGCAGCAGAAACCCGAGAGTGAGGACAAGGAAGACGAAGAACCTTCATGGAGAGACAAGCCGCTGCACGGCATGTACCACAGACAAATAGAAGAAATCAAGAAATACACACAGCCTACACAATATACACACAGAGGTACAGACAGTAAAGGTGATGTTGCTATAGACTGAATGAAAAATGGTACAGATATTTATAGTAGTGTTAATGATTATAATAACAATAATAACAATAGGACTAGTAACAATAGGACTAGTAACAATAGGACTAGTAACAATAGTCGTTGTAGCAGAGGGTGTCGAGCAGGAACACGGGGGCAGCAGGTGACCCGCAGCCACAGATCCAGACTCCACAGCTCCAGAGCCAGAAAACCTGCAGGAAGTGATAGGAGGAGAGAGGAGAGGGACGAGAAAGCACAAGACTACCGGAAAGGGGAGAAGTTGTGTTAGTAACATGCAATAATGGGATGAGGTTGCATACAGAGGGAGAGAAAGTAGAGGAGAGAGGAGCTCAGTGCATCATGGGAAGTCCCCCGGCAGTCTAGGCCTATAGCAGCATAACTAAGGGATGGTTCTGTCTATGAAGATTCTCAGTCATCCAGGTCATAGTTATCCAACGAAGGTTAAAATCAAGGGCAACTGGACTTGGTTGAAGATACTGGAAGACGTTTCGTCCCTCATCCAAAGGACTTCTTCAGTTCTGACTGACTGGCAGGGAAACTCAGCTATTTAACCTCAGTGGGGTCGTTATCCCGGGTCATCGATACCGCTGGTTCGTTAGTGTTCCTGGTCGCTGTGACGACAGTCGTTACAGTCGTTAAGACTACCTGTGGTCAAGACTGAACGACCATCGTTGGTATCTTCACCTGAGGCCAATAGGTTACGTTTGTTGAGTTTCCTGGGAAGTGATGAAAGGACAGCATTGTAAGTGGGGGATAAGTGGTGGCGTAGACCCCCTCCCCTGTTCAATGACGGCTTCTCAACCCTGGTGTAGATGGCTTCCTTGACACCTCTTTCAAACCATAAAATGTCTAAAATGTGCACCTGGTGGTCCTCAAACGAGTGTCCTCTGTCCTTCAGATGTAAGTAGACTGCAGAGTCTTGACCTGAGGAGTTGGCCCTTCTGTGTTGAGCCATGCGTTTGTGTAGTGGTTGTTTAGTCTCCCCAATATACAGGTCTGTGCATTCCTCACTGCATTGGACCGCATACACTAGATTGCTTTTCTTGTGTTTGGGTGTGCGGTCTTTGGGGTGTACCAGCATCTGTCTTAGTGTGTTCTTGGGTTTAAAAAACACAGGGATGTTGTGTTTGTTAAAAATCCTCCTGAGTTTCTCTGATACTCCAGACACGTATGGAATCACAATGTTGTAGCGTTTGACCTTCTTTTCCTCGTCCCCTGTAGTTTTGTTCTTCTTGGATCTTGTGGCTGTTTTCACAAAGGTCCATTTAGGGTATCCACAGGCTGTAGAAAGGACAATAACCCCACAACACTTGAAACAGACAACAGATGGGTGAAAAACTTGTCAGATAGGGAACTCACCCAACCAGAGAAAGACGTTCTGGCCAAAGGATTAAACTTCGCCATTACACCACAGCAACTACCGATAGTAGACCTCATCACAGCCACAGAATCAGCCATTAGGAAAAACAAATTAACAGAAACAGAAGCGGAACAGCTCAGACTAAAGGTATCTGTAGCCCTTTCTAATGCGAAGGCCCCCCCTTCCAACCTCACCATCCAAGAAAGGAAGGCTGTGACATCTCTGAGCAAGGATCAAAACATCACTATCCTACCTGCGGACAAAGGAAGATGCACGGTAGTACTTAACACAGTTGACTACCAGAACAAAGTCAACACACTACTAATGGACACAAACACGTATGAGACACTGAGACGAGACCCAACCAGCGGATACAAGAAAAAGGCCATAGAATGTCTACAACAGTTACAGAAGGACAACACCATCCCCCGTGAACAATATTACCGTTTGTATCCTGGAGAAGCCATTCCTTGCATTTATGGACTACCCAAGATACACAAAGAAGGAGCCCCTCTCAGGCTGATTATCAGCAGCATTAACTCGGTCACCTACAACATTGCCAAACACATTTCCACCATCTTAGCTCCATTGGTGGGAAACACGCCTCACCACATCCAAAACTCTATTGACTTTGTAAACAAAGTTCGAGGACTAAAACTGGATCCAGATGAAACCGTGGTATCCTATGACGTGACTTCTTTGTTCACCTGCATCCCCACCATAGAGGCAGTAGAAACCGTCAGGAAACGGCTAACACAGGACAACACCCTGGACAACAGAACTAGACTCAGCCCTGACCAAATCTGTAAATAACTCGACCTCTGTCTAAACACCACCTACTTCCAGTACAACGGTGGATTCTACAGACAGAAGCATGGCTGTGCCATGGGCTCACCGGTATCCCCGATTGTGGCCAACATCTACATGGAAGAAGTGTAGAACAAAGCCCTCAACTCCTTCAGAGGAACAGCACCGAGCCACTGGTACAGATATGTGGACGACACCTGGGTCAAAATCAAAAGCCAGGAAGTGCAAGCCTTCACAGAACACATCAACTCTGTGGACAGTAACATCAAGTTCACACGAGAAGATGTTCACAACAACAGTTTGGCCTTCCTGGACTGCGCTGTACACATTGAAGAGGACAGGAGCCTGCAGATTGGTGTTTACAGAAAACCCACACACACAGACCAATACCTACTGTTCGATTCACACCACCCACTGGAGCACAAGCTAGGGGTCATGAGAACACTGCACCACAGAGCGGAAAACATACCAACAAGCGCCCAAGCCAGAGAGAAGGAACAGAACCACCTGAAGGGGGCACTTACAGCCTGTGGATACCCTAAATGGACCTTTGTGAAAAGGTATACTGGAACCTGGTTCCACAGGAGAGTAAGAGCAACAGTGGTGATCGGAGCACTGGGGGCTGTGACCCCCAAACTGGGAGAGTGACTATAGTCTCTGTCCAGAAGAGTGCAGTCCTAGGAACAGCTAAGATACTGCGCAGAACCCTCAAACTCCCAGGCCTCTGGTAGAGGACCCGAGCCTGAGGATGACACATACCACCCCGCAAGGGGTGAGAGGGGGATAGTTAGTTTATTTATTTATTTATTTATTTTTGCCTATTCAGGAGAGGTACGTTTGCCATTAATATTATAGTAGCGACATGAAATTTGATAAATAGTCTGTTGGTATTTTTAATAATTTCTGTTTACCACAATACATTCACTATGTAATTTAATGTTCATTAGTAATAGTTCTCAAATCAGATATTTGTAAAATGTTTACTGTAGTTTTATACATTTGACTTTTATTTATCAAAACCTATTTTGTTGTACTTTTATTAAGTACTATTAAGAACAATAAAAATGTTCTTTTTATACTGCATTATTTCATGGTATGTTTGGTTTTGATCTCAACATAACAAATATAATCTTTGTCGATGTCATGCGTTTCTTAAAATAAGGTGGAAAAAGGATATCGACATATCAGATTTTAAAATCCTCAAATATTGAAATTGGCATCGGACTTAAAAAGCCAATATCGGTGGTGCTCTAAAAAGACAACTATATTCGTGACTTGTTGAAGAGGCTTGGGGCTGATGAGTGTATCTGGTATTGTCTATATTTTTCCCAGGTTCGTGCGGAGCGTAACCGTGCACGTGACGAGGTTCGTCAGCTGAGGCAGCGGCTGGATACCCTCACCAAGGAACTGACCAGTGTTCGGCGGGAGCGGCAGGAACTGGCCTCTGAGAATGAGACACTACGGCAGGAGACGCAGCGCCTTCGTAACGACCACAGCGCTCCTCCTCCGTCTGCCACTCCTCCATCCTCCTCCCCTGCACACCTTCGTGGTGCTTCCTCCTCCTCCACTCCATCTATCCCTCCCTCCTCCCCTGCCTCATCATCCTCCTCCCCTCAGGTCCACACTGACTGCAAGCTGGACAGGGTGGGGGAAGGACCACCTGGGTCTCCAGAGCCAGAACCAGTGAGGGACGTGGACTTGGAACAACAAAACTTGGGTCAACAAAAGGTGAGTGATGAGAGAGATGGAAAAAAGTGCTGACTCCCTGCCTTTGAAGCAAAATGTCCCTCCCTTGATTACTTATATTGCTTTAGTCTGTAAGGGTCCACTGATCAAAAGAATCAAAATGGCTTTTCTTGAAAAGGAATCCTGTGACTCTGCTGTGTCTGCAAACTTCCGCCACATGTTTCTCTGCCTCCTGCACCTGTTGATGGGTATGCTTGTTTTCAATACCTTGCTGCCTTCTAAATAAAAATGCTCAAGCTGTCTGTTGGAGCTAGATCAGATAATTGATTTGTAATCGACCCTTTGCTAAGCTACGCCCCAAATACGCAGCTGGCCAATCACAGCACAGTATAGGACTCTGACACTTTCATGGCTGCGCTCCATTGACTCGTGTGCAAAAGGTGTTGTTTTCTAGCTTTGTTTTGCCATATTTTTCCAAGATATGGTCAAACGCTGTTCCTGTGGCACTTGTAATAGTTACAGCCGCTACCCAGAGAGGTTGAAAGGAGAAGTACGATTTATTCTCTTTCCAAAACCTAAAACAAATCCAGGAAAATGTAGGCTGTTTGTTTCTATTGTAATGTTAGTTAGCTAACGCTAGATAACTTACTACAGAAAATAACCTTATATAAGGCTACTGTTCTGCTTTTTAATGACTGTAATAGTGAATAGAGACCTACCCGGCTGTACAGGAACAGTGTTGATCCTTAATATCATTGTCTTCTTTCTCAATAGTCAGGTAAGACTTTACTTTACTTTTACTGTGATCAGTAGGCTTTAGCCTCTGTCTTTATTTTTTCACATCAGTTTGCGTCAGTCTGACAGCCTGAATACGACCTTTAAAAGCACAGTGCACCTGCAAAACTGTCTGCTTCTTTCTGAGATAGCTTTTTCAAAAATTAGACAATATTTCTCCTGGGAGTGCAGTAATAGACAGAGGCCGCGGCGTGCTGAAAGTCAGACAGGTCCGACAGTTTGTCGGAGTTAGCAACAGTAACTAAAGGGGGCGTGGCTTAGCGAAGGGTCAATTGATATGTTATTTGATATAATCATTTTTATACAAGTAAAATTCATACTGATAATAATTTAATATAATTTGATAGCAGCCCATTTCACATCTTTGCTGAGCAAGAGTTTAGTGTGAAAGCGATTAAAGGCCTGTCCCATATGGATACTTGGTCGCTAGGTGCAACTTCAGCCTGATGATAGATCCAGCCATGAAGATATCAAATGGAGAGACTCCTGATGTCAGTGTGCTTATAACCTCTGCTGCTAAATGGACAATGTGACCTCAGCTGCAGTGAATACAGGCCAGACTGGCTACTATGACTCCAGCCCTGTAGATACGCTTACAAAAAGTGTATGTGTGTGCTTGGAGGGTGTCCTAGTTAAGTGACTAGCAGTGTGGGTACACAGGTGTGCGCGCACACACACACGTGCGTATTCTCCCAGCGTGCTTGCTTATCCCTGAGGTCTCAGTGATGCTGCAGTACTTTTTCTCTGTCACCCTGTTCTGTGCACACCATCCTAAACCTGACCTGCTGCTTACCTCAGCTTCGTTCATACTGAATTCAGACTTGTAGCTTTATAGGACCAGGTGTGTAGGATTTAGTGGCATCTAGCAGTGATGCTGCAGATTGCAACCAACTGAATAACCCTTGCCTTCCAGTGGTGGTGGTGCAACATGGCAGATTCCATGAAAAATGTTCTGCTCCCTCTGTAGATATAAAGAACTCATTCTAAGGTAATGAAAACACAACAATTCTTAATTTCAGGTGATTATACACTAATGAAAACATACTTATATTATATAGTATAGTAATATTATATTGCATTTCTACCAATGTTTCTGCCATTTTCCCCTTAAATGTTACACACTGGTCCTTTTAATGCAGCAGTTGGTAACAATTGAACATACAATGCAAAACCTTCTTTGTCTCTCTCTGCTGCTCGTATGACTCTGATAAGTCCCTCCCACCAAACCCATAAGTTTGTATGGCAGCAGGAAGAGCCAAATCCCCTGGGAAACCTCAACCCGCGTAGGAAGTCCTCTCCACGGTGACAGTCTCACCAACACTCGGGCCTCTCTTGCTTCTACTCGCCTCAAACGCTCCTCCAGCAGCAGGATGAGAGGCTGGTACACCACTGCCTCTCTTCAAAAATTATTCCCCTCTGTTTGTTATCCTGCGTCTTTGCCACTCGTTGATATCAGCGCCATATCTTCAAACATAATGAGTCTAAAGCTCCGCGTGGAGCCAGGATGTGATCACACGTGTTTTTACTATACGCTGTTGGTGGTTGTTCTTCAGCCGGTCAGTTTTTGGCTGTGTCAACAAAACGATTCTAAACAGCATTAAAACTTCTTCATTGAAGACTAAATGCAACGCAGCCACATGCAGTAGAGGTCCAGAGTAAAAATGGCTGAAACACATTTAATTCACATAAGATGTATAGTTTCTTTGTAAAACAAAGTGACACAAAGTAAATTGGTAACCTTAAGAAAATGCAGTGTTGAATGACGAATGACTGAAATTACACAGCCACAAACTTAAATATTCACTATATACATAAAATATACACACAATATAACGTCAGCTGCAGGAGATGCTTCAGCCTCTCAGGGCTGGATTTGTCATGTGGAGCTTTCCGTCTTCTTCGGTGTTGGTCATTTTAGCAACAATTTATGATAAGTATGTCTATCCAGTGACAGTTGACTACATCAAAGTCTCTGACTACATCCAATATGACACATCTGTGTTGATTTGGTTGCATGGGTGAATTACGGAAAGCGTTGCTCAATGTTGCACCGACAACCATGCTACTGCAGTGTCTGTGCAAACTTGGTGCAGCAGTAGTTTTTAGCTGCGTCCAGAAAGGTGTTGTTCCACAGAAGTGTTCGGCAACGCCATAGTCATATTGTTGAATGACCTGTAATAGCAGTCACCGAGAACAGACACTGCTCAGGGTTAGTAAATAAACTACTGTTCTCTTCACGTTTTGTTTTTTGGGTTAAAAAAAGTTTGTGTGTAAGTCTCAGCAACAACACGGGCTTTATAGCATGCAGCTCATCAAAGAGAGTTGCTAGAGCCTCAGGGGATGTTGTAGTGGTTATTAAAAACAAAAATTAAGCAATGATTACTGTAACGCAAATGTATAGTGAACTTATGTTGTGGTTCATAAATCTTGAATTTGAACTTGACCATCAATAAACTGTAAAATCATTACAGTCTGCTAAACTTTTCTTAGTTTTGTGAAGACATTGTGTTTTTGTGGCATTTACTTCAGTATTAACATCCATAACAACACATGTCCACTTCCGCCTGTTTCATCTGTCTGTATTACCTTCTAATATATTCATAATTAGATATATTCTAAAGATTATAATATCATTTTATGTGTAGTATTTTCAGTACTAGTAACAGTTTTTGCTGAGGTGAAGTTGGAGTGTGGCCATAGTAAATATTTAATCCCTAATCATTATTATTTCTTCTCTGAGGTAGACGATCTTCCAGTGCTGACCTGTGCCTTTGAGCTCTCCTTCACTCACAGTGTTTTGTCTGGAGGGCAGGAGCAGGATCAGTTCAGGAGCTCAGTGTGTAATGAGCTGCTGTCTTAGTAAATCAGGCACTGAATACACACAGATTGCAGCCACAAACTCAACCCCAGAGAACATTTGAACGACATTTTCTAAGTAAATCTGGCTCTCAGACTTTTAACATCTAATGTCAGAAATGAGAATCTTTAGATCACTGTCATGGCATATCAGACTTGACCTTCAGCTAGCTCAGGCAGGGTTTCCATGGTAACACACACACACACGCACACGCACAGAAATACAAATTGAGGCGGTGGCGTTCCAAGTAAACCATTATAATGTGTCTGTCAGTGGTGCCAGCAGCGGTGGTCACGGAACGACGGCTAACTGATACTCACAAGAGCAGAGCCTCATTTCCTGTCTCCCTCCATTGTTCTGCTTCTCACACACACTGAGCACTTCCACATGTGGAACAGTATGGTTTGATATGTTACACACTGGGTCCCTCTGCTGGGGATTAGCTGTAATGACAGCAGCAGCTGTTTTCCGTTTGGCATATCTCAACCTGTGTGTATGTGAAGTTTTTGAAAAGGATGTTACATGCTTTTCATCAGTCAGTTCCATGTCTTAAATGTCAGTTTCTCAGACATTGGGGGGGGAAGCCTCATTTGTAGATTGACCACAGTGCAATTTAGAAACATTGAGGGGGTATCATCATCCCAAAGTATGTAGAAAATTCTTTAATCACAGATGTGAAAATAATCTGAACTTTAGAGAATGTAAAACTATCAGTGACACTTGACACACAAATGTGTGGCTAAAATGTGTCTGTCAGAAGAGACCTTTCAACGTTTTTAAAGGTCCTGGGGTCTCGTTTATAAAACTATAAGTAGGAAAGACTCAAAGGTTGGTACATACAAAGCACAGAAAGTGTGTGTTTTATAAACCGTGTGCACGCATGTCCTACGCCGATTTCCCTTTATACTGTAAATCAGTCTACTCCTTGTCCGACCCTTTAAACCCTATCAAATATTAATACATACTGACTGCATGAAGAAAAGGAGGCGAATTCTGAACATTTTTAACCCAGTGTGACGCTGACATTATTTTTTGGGGAGGTTGAAGCAAGAAAAATTGTTTGGTGGATAAAACCCGCACACACACAGTGCTGCTGCATCGGAGGAAAGGGGGCACCGGAGCTCTGCCCCATTAGAAGCTATCTGCAGGAAGGTGCACCCCTCCTGCGTAGTCAGGGTGGTGGAGGGGGGACACTGATATGCAAGACGGGAGTAAACCAAATGCATTGCACTCGTGTTTAAACATTTAGGCTACACAGTCAGTCTACTCACTTAACGAGGCTGGCAACGAGTTAAAATAAATGACTTGTTTTACATATGACATAAGCGCTAGACTAATATTTACACTTAAAGTGTTAAATTTTTCTATACAGTGTTTTTACAAGCAACCC